TGCATATATGTTCAATAGTTAGTACTTGTATAATAACATAAAGTTATTAAAAATAATTACAATTTTTTTTTAAATAAAACCTTTACATTATTTGATATAAAGTAACTTAAATAAATTTTAAATATTATGTAAATAATATTAAGGATCACTGTACTGAGATAAAATTTTTGTAAATCTAATGAAAAATTCGATTTACAGAATCGTTTATAGAATTTGCTGATTTATAGTAAAAAAATATATATATAGAATATCACGTTTACTTTATAATAAAATTAATATATATTTATATACCGTATAAGGATCATTGTACTGCGAGGACGTATTAAAGATAAGCAGTTTGAAAGCTTGGCATTCTGATAATTGTGACAACCCATGTCGTATCTTCATCTACTGGGTAAACGTTTTTAAAACATCTCTCAAATGTACAGAATAGATTATACCTCGGTTAATACAGTCTTGCGAGTGGCATCCCTCTGAAGAAGCCATCATTTTAAAAGAGGTAGGGATGGAATTTCATATATATATACATATATAGATTTATACATGTGATGATACATGTATAATACATATACGTACATGATACATGGAAATGCTTGAGAACTCATAAAGAAAATATTCCCAGTGTGTTTGGCGAACTGAGACGGTGAATGTTGAAGTAGTATACAAACACGATTGCATACGACGGGAAACGCTATAATAACGGTCGACCAATGTTTTGAGACCGTGTAATTACCGTAAAAACAAAGAGTGTTTCCGACTCACTGCAACAGAATTTCACTTTTATATAATGAAAAATTAGCAGGAATGTTTTTGTGCGTGTACATAGTTTTGTTCCAATTGTATCAAATTGATACGATGCATAGAAATGTAAATGAATTAAATGTATTAATTATAATGACCATCAGTGGTATGTAAGATCTTAAGGATTTCAATAACCAAAGAATTATAAAGTACCTCGTAATAAAAGTAGTAGAGTAATATTTTCAAGAGTTATAAATTAATAAATAATAATGTATTACTAATAAAATAATAACTATACAATATCAAATAAATACTTGAATAATATGCCTATGTATATGAATGAAAATGTGTACAAATATGATTGTAATGAAATGTAAAATATTAAATATTGGCCTGATCTCATTAAGATGTATACAATTTTGTACCTATGAATGTTAAATTATATTACATTTTATCTAAAAAAACACTCTAGTAAATCAAATATGAACATTGAAAAAACACGTTCTTTCTACATAAATATTACGCGTGATAACATGCTTGCAGTAGAATGAGAGCCAAACACACCTTATCAGCATCCGAACAAATATCTTGAATGGGTTTCAAACCCGAACCAATCGGTTCGGAGTTTCTTGGTAATAACTAGGTATAGTTAAATATTGTTGACAAATGGAAACAATTATACACATATACAAATTTGAATTTCACTATTAATACCATCGCAAGTTGATTTTAGTATCCATCCCACCAAAAATCCATATAAATAATAGATATAGATTAATGAATTCATTTAAATTGTGATTTAAAAACCATACAATATGATATTATAAGAGATAAAAATCATAAGAATTTAAGTATAAATGGATTATAAATAGTTATGTTATTACATAAATAAAATAAAATTTGTAAATTGAAGCCTCCATCCTCAATGCAGGTCTAAGTATTTCATTGATTTAACATGAAATATCTGGAAATAAGAATCCTATAAATAAAATAAATATTATGATTCTCAACATTATTTATGGTAAAGAAAATAATAGTTTTTATTATAAAATGTGTTATGCACAACCAGTGGCGTATACAAGGGGATGTTTGGTAGATATAACCTAACCCCCCTTGAGCCGTATCATATATTACATTATTATAGGAATATAGGTAAATCGATAATACAATATGAAATATAAAATAATGCACAATACTAATTACATACATACAGGTTAACATTATCGCGATTGCGACAATACGTGACGAAAATTATTCGTTTACGTTTTCGTGCAACACAAAACGTTTAATAATAATAGGTATTGTAGCATTGAATACTGATATTTGAATAGTCAAGTATTCGAATAATTTATGGTAAAGCTATCCGATTTCGAATATACATTACATCTCTATTACAGACATTGTGTATACATATTAATTAATTAAAATAAAAGTTTTAGTTTGTACATATTATATATAATCCTTCAAAAAATCCTAGCTACGCCACTGTGCACAACTCAAAAATTAATACCATCAAAATTTATAAATTATTTTGTAAAAAATATTTCATTATTGTAAATAATTTGTAATTACCATTTCGTTATCTAATGTTAATTTCGTGCCATTTATTCCATGGATATGTTAATAAAATGTTGGTGATTGGAGGACGGTTTACTAACAAGGATTAGATAAAAAAATTATTTTTGATGTTTCTAAATTTAAAATACTATTTAATTCTGATGCTAAAAATAATAATTAAAATACTATTTATGTAAATCGTTACAATTCATAAATTTAGTTAACTATTTAAAATGTACTCAGAAAATAAGTGTATGAGACCTAGATAATTGTTAGTTATATTGTTTACTTGAATAAAAAATTGGCAAATATAATAATTTATTGTTTTTCGCAAATTCAATAAAATATATCAAATATAAAGAACAATATTAGGCAAGTATAAAAGTGCGTTTAGATTATAGTTCGAACGCTGCCAAATGCTGATACCGAACTAATATGTTCGTACATTCGCTAGCCATTTTGTCACACCATACAAATTATTCGTTCGTGTTTACTTCTGAATATTCCCCAGTATGATTTTCTTTGATATTACCACTCTAGGACCAAACTCTGCCGAATCCATTCATTCGCAATTGGTTCGACCGTTTACACTGGTTCATTCGGCAGCATTTGTTCTCGTTCGCTTGCATTCGGATCATTTTCTAAACGCAACTTTACAATAATTACATTTATACATCATTGCTGACATGTTATATAAATTTTATGTTATGCAATTAAATGCTCTACAATTTTTAGTTCAATGCCAAATCTTTTGAGTCGTCCAAGTCATGAGATATAAAGTACTTAAGTGGAAAATTAAGCTTATTTCTCCTGCCTTCTAGTTAATATCGTCCCGAAAGTAAATTAAAACATTGATTAAAAACTGGAATATTTGCTATGTAATCTAATCTATTCTGGAAATAGATTTGAAATTCAATTTAATTAATGAATACATTTATGCACAAAGTACTAATGCATTCACGATTCACCCCTACACTAATGATTCCAGAATCAGATTTTAATGGAATATAATTTTCTCCTAGTAATCATTTATAAAAGTTTAAATTACTTTTTACAATTTTTCATCATTTTAATAGACGTATTATGATGTGTGTATTATTGATGTGCCGTGAGTAAATACCCGACGGGTAGGTAAATATTTTGGGTATTTACCACTATATTATTTACCTACCAAAAATTTGGGTAAATATTTTATTTTTTTTATTGTCAAACATAATAATTTTTAATAAATAAATTTCATTTTAAAATTTGAAGCATTTTGGTTAGTTTTTAAATTCTTAGATTTATTTGTTTCTCCATTAAAAGTGATATTGATTTCAAAGTGAATAAAATTAACAAAAACTTTATAAATATGATTTATATACTCTAATCATCAGTCGTGTTAAAACATGAAAAAGTCAGGAAACAATCATAAAAAAGTATTGTGATATCCATGGATTGGTTTTAGCATTAAAAAAAAATTAAATAAAATATCCAATTTATTGGCTAAATACCCTGTAAATATCGGATAAATGTATTTACCTGGTATTTGCCCATCACTACGTATATAATAGATAATGTAAGTAAAAAAATTTTTTAACTGTTTTTCACAAAGTATTAAATTACGATTTGATATAAAAATGTTATAAATTGTACTTTGAATGTTTATAAGATTTTTTATTTTTAGTATTGTTTAGTAGTAACTTAAATATATTATTTTTCATAAATATTCAAATTTTAAATAATTAATATAAGGTATAAGGAAAAATATAATATAAATTAAATTACTTTTGTTAATTATGACAGGTAATGTATGATATTTTTGAGATTTTATGAAAATATTCTAAAAAATATTATTTAATTACTCAAAATAGTCTAATTTTATTTAAATTTTCTTAGAAAATAAATATTTTCAATCAATAATTATATTATACAATTATATAATAAATTATACAGATTTTATTCTACCAATACAAATTCTATAAAAATAATAATAATATCCTACTCACAATATTCTAATTTAGTTATAGTAATTTTCGAAAGTGAGCGTTTTAAATCAATTAGGTATATGATAAATATCAAGGTTTAATGTTAATTACCGACAACATTCTATACATAAATTAATTTTATTCTATAAATAATGTTTAAAGTTTATTTACTAATATAAATATATTAAATAATAAAATAGACCAAACAATTAAATTAATATTTTAACTATAAGATTTCCATTAATTGATGTGTTAATTATCCTATTTCTTTTCGATGATTCTACGAATTTCAGACTCTTATTTTATCAAGTTTTGTTCGTGAAAAGTAGCTATTTTATATTGTAATTGTATCTCACCGGCTAATGATAGAAGAATAAAATAAATTACATTTTTAATATTCCTATACATGTTTTTGAAGAAATGTTGATGTTTTTTTTTTATTATTTTCGGTATACGAATAAATATATGCTGTCCGAACAATTGTATATATTTTTAAATTAATATTATATAACTTGAGGATCTCACACTAATACTTAAGTAAGGTTACTTTTCTAATGAATGCTTTATCTAAATGACGTCTACATATTTCAACGGTTATAACTTGACTATGTATGGGAATATTCCCACACATTTTGGGATTTGATACAAATATATATATATATATAATTTTTAATGTATTTTAATTTGGATAATTTCCAGTTAATCAATGTACTAATAAGTATACTACATTTTCAGATTTTGCTGAGAATTATAAATGGATTACGAAAAAATACTACAGCAGCAATGACAAACTATCATAAATATGACCAGTGATCCTCACTTTTTAAAGGCTCTCAAACGACATCCAGACAGAAGAACTTTGCAAGTATGTAACAGAACAATAATTCCTACAGTAGTCGATTATAATCCGGAATAAATGATAATTATAGTTTTGTGCATTTTAATAGAATGGTATAAATAACTATAGTATATAGATTTCAATTATGTATTAGAAAGAAACTGCAAGGACCTTAATTTCTCATAATGCAAAAATATATATATATATACTAGCGACCTGCCCCAGCTCCGCACGGGTATTATCTGGACCTATAATAAAATAAATTTGTAGAAATTTGTGATCATCGGGTCGATGTGGTAGCAAGCTCTCAGCTAAGTGATATACTTGCCCTTGAATTTTAAATGTACGTATAAAACCACGCCCAACGCAGTCGCGGATTCAAGGGGGGGAAAGGGGCCATGCCCCCCCCCGCAATGTTTTATATTTCATGTAAAATTAATTTAACCTAAGAATTATTCATATTTAATTTTATTTATTCTTTTGTAATGATAAACTGGGATTTAAATAATAATATTTACCTATTAGTTTACATAGTATGTACACTGTTTTTATCAGGCTGAAATTTTATTTAAGATGACCCCCCCCCTCCGTAAATCTGTTCTAGATCCACGCCTGGCTCAACGACTTGCTTACTCTTGAAAGATGCCATTTGAAATACGTTATTATAACGGCGTATATTGCGCATCAATTTTTTTGGATTTCGGATGATCACTCGTTAGCTTAATTACTCGGCTTTGCTCGAAACATTCTTGACAGGTACATAGGTTTTAATGAATTATTACCTTACACTATTTAAAGTCAATTTTAGTGTGATTGTTGATTATAAAACAAATAAAACGAAAGTTCAAATGAATCGGTATGGTAGTTTTGGTTGTACGTCGTGTTTTTTTGTTATTCACTATACTACGACTAACGTTCTAATAACGACGTCTTCTAAACATGACTCTATAATTGCTGTACAAAGTACCTACTATTTACTCATTTCAATAAATGATAATAATAATATAATCTTATGTCATGGTACCACAAACATAGTACAATAATACAGTCTTCAGTCTTCATTCTTCTCTTTTTTTTTATATACAAAACCTTCACTCCATCAATTAAAAAAACCCGCATCAAAACCTGTTGCGTAGTTTTAAAGATCTAAGCATACATAGGGACAGACGTTGGAAGCGACTTTGTTTTATACTATTTATATATTATATATATATATATATATATAGACACAGATAGTATACAACGAAGACAACTGCCCTCCACCAACAAAACAAGAAATCGAATAGCAGATTAAAAGATTAAAGAACAATAAATCATCTGGATTAGATGGGATTCAGAGTGAGATTCTAAAAGCACTAAATAATGAAACAATTACGGGTATACATAAGCTTATGGAGCAAATTTCGGAAGAGGAGATAATATCACAGGATTGGAATTCAGTAATAATTTGCTCAGTACACAAAAAAGGGATCCTCTTGACTGCAATAATTATAGAGGTATTGCATTGCTGAACGTCAGCTACAAGATTTTAGCGTACTACATTCTAGATAGAATCAAACCTCGTACAGAAGAGCTACTGGTGGATTTATTGGTTTTAGACGGAACAGGTCAACCGCGGATCTGATTATCAACTTAAGACAAATTTTTTAAAAGGGAAACGGGAATTCGATAAAAATATATGCATATATATGTCTCGTATACGTAGACTTTAAGAAGGCCTATGACTCGATCCATAGACCTAGTCTTATAAATATGATGAAATAATTTAATTTCACCAAGAAATTAGTAAACATAGTTGAAACTACCCTAAAATATACCGAGATTAAAGTGAAAACAGCAAAAAGAGTTTCAGAACTAGTCAGAGTAATAACGGAATTGAGAAAAGGAGATGCACTCTCACCCGTTCTCTTTAACTTAATGTTGAAGAAGGTCGTCAGAGAATCAAATGTCACTGGAAGTTTTTTGCTAGGGCAGATAATTGTTGGCCTTCTAGCTTACGCAGATGATACTCCTATCACAGAGAAAAATTAAATCGAAAGCCTACATGATACTCATAAAAATTGCGGGAAAAGTTGGTTTTTGCAAATCAATGATGAAAAAAACGGAATAAATAATAGTAAATAATAGTGAGGTCAGTTACCAAAAAGATGAAATAATGAAAGTAGAAAAACACAGCTTTAAAAGAGTGTCTCACTTCAACTATTTAGATTCAATATTAACTAATGACAATAATATAAAAGTAGAAATTGATACTAGACTAAAAAATGGGAATAACTGCTACTATGGGTTGGGAAAAATACTAAGCGCTAAAGTTTTTTTTCAAAAAATCTTAAAATACAGATATACATGACGTTGTTAGTCCAATAGTACTATACGGTTCGGAGACTTGGCCTCTCAGAAAAGCGGAACAAATGAAGTTAGAGGTTTTCGAAAGATAAATTCTAAGAATGATTTTTTGATCGTATAAGAATGAATAAACTGGTAAATTGAGGAAACGACATAACCAAGAATTCCAGAACCTTTTTTCAACGACCTAGCATCACAAAATAAATCTTAGTCGGAAGACTGAGACGGGCAAGGGATGCATAGAGAAACCCGTTTATTATTGCTGGGTTGTTTTCTTTACGGTCCTTATAATTGATTGATTGTATTGATTGAATATTATTAGAAGTAATTTTTCGTTTATTAAATAAAATTTAGGTATCCTGGTATGTTCATGTATATTAAATATTACCTATTATATACATTTTATATTAATTATACTATATTTCTAAAGAAATACATGCCTAAAACTGATTTTCCTAAGTATCATACAAATCCTAAATATGATGAGTGACAATTAAAATAAAAATTATAAATTGTTATATAGAGAAATATTTTGGGTATGATTTTATACATATTAGATGATACATTGATTTATATTATTTATACTTCATATGATAATTTTTTTTGTTTTTAGGATCTTCAAATAATTTACTATGGACTTCAAAGTCTGGAAGCATTGTATACCTATAGAGATTCCTCATTGCGTACACTATGCAAAACAGTCAAATATGAGCGCCATGAAGCAAACGATGTATTATACTTGTAAGTTAATATTCACTTATTATTTATTCATATTTAAAATCTATAAGTTATGACTTTAACAGATTTTATTAAATTGTATTTAGTTAAAATTATTTTCCTTAATTAAATTATATTCAGAATTTAAAAAAATGTACAAAGCTTGAATTAATTAATTATGTTCTTTTTAATTAAAAAAAAAATTGGTTTTTTTTTTTCAAATAAGTTATATTTTTAACAATTGTTGACATTTTAAAATATATAATATTTTCTGAATAGTTAAACAATTGAACCTAATAGTAGTTTATGGTATCATACTTATTAATTTTCTGCAACGTCCATTGAACTTCTATGATTATTTCATATTTTAATACTTTACATAAGTTATTTAAATGACTATTTGGTATAATGGCAATCCTTTAAAACCTAAATACAAACAGAAAAAAAAATGATGACTACTTGATTTTGTTGTTATCGGGGTATTCTTGTCTGACTATAAATGCGATGTACCTTAATTCACACCACACGTACAACTACTCAATAAATGAGTGAATTATAATTTAATTTAGATTTATTCATAATTCAGGTAATGGTATTATCTTAATAAAATTTAACTACAAAGTTTTGGTATTTTTAAAAATATACCTTTGGACTCAAATAACTAATGTATTCAATAATTATTATTTTAATATTATAATATAAATATTGTATTGTCAGGACCGCATTTAATGGAGGACATTAGCTACAACTGCTCCGATGCCAGTTTTTAGGGGGTGCTAAAATTTTGTGATCGAAAATTTGATCACTTGTGAATTATTGAACTTTTAAAATCATTTTGAAATTATTATTTTATTTTTATTTTTAATAACAATTTCATAAATTAATGTTAATGTATTTCATTTATTAATATATATTATTAATGTATTTATAGCCATATAGCTATCAACGATCCAGAATATAACTAATATACCTAATATCAGTTCCCAAATTTGTTGAGATAATGTCAATAAACATAAGTGATTTATAATAATACGGCGTATTATGTTATCGCGTGTGGCATGCGGTGGCATGTCTACTACGCAAAAATAGCATTGATTTTAGAATATCTAAAGGGTTCATGAGGATGTATTTCCTATATTTTCCGTGGATAAGCCCCTTAGAAGGGCGCCAATTTTTTTTTTTTTTGCGCCGGGGCGCAAAATTACTAAATACGGCACTGTGTATTGTAGTCTTTATTAGTGTCAAAAATATTTTCAAGTAATTAAATTTATCAGTTGGCGATTTTTCATTTATAAATTTTGTATATTTATATTTATTTTTTGTTTAACGTTTAAAATTTTACATTAATTATATTATAAAGTATATTTAAAAGTTCTTATAAATTTTAATTTAATTTTAAAATAAATATTACTTGGAAAATAAGCTTAGTGCCGCCATCTAGGTTATTTAATATACATTATATATTCTATATAAATGTTTATGGATAGATGGTGTATAAATCTTCAATGGTTGAAAAGTAAAATTATTACTTCATTCATGAATAAATATGTATATTTTATATTTATTATTATTATAAATTACCACCTAAATAGATTATAAACTTGTTACAAATACCTTTATAGAGCTTATATAAATATTATAAAACACTTAAATTGTATTATATTTTTCACTTGTGATTTTCAGTACCGGCGAGTTGGCAATGTGTTGGTATGTGTTGCTCTCAGGTTCTGTGTTCATTGACGGTAAACTGTTTCTGCCTACGTCCAGGTAAGTCGGTAGAAAAAAATTTTGATTATCTTGAAATCTCTAGTCATCAATTTCATTGACCAACATTGTTTTTTTTGTTCTCTTTCGAACTTTATTTTTAAAATTTGATGGTGACATTTCTTGTAGTTGTGTTGTAATTTTAGTGTCTTTGATTCATACTAAAGCGATTAATGTACTGATTCTAAAAATCTCTATGATCATTTCCTTTCTGCAATGAATCTTTTGGTTATGTATAGTAGTGGTAGAATAAAGAAATTATATCATACATTATATATCAGGTTCGTTGATTTATCTATATATAGATGTACCTATGGTTCATTATTTTTTGAATGAAATCGTTGATTTGTTTTTAATTTAAATTAATACATAACAATAATAAAAATTATTTAATGAATAATAAATATGAATTGGATAATGATTTTAACTTTTTCTTTTTTTTTAATTACATAATAAACTATTTTTAAAATAACTTATTCAAGCACAATACTAGCTAGTGCAAAGATTAGGCGTTCCGCTATGTAGTACAGTAATGTTATGTATGATGCATCGTATAAATATTAAGGGGAAAACAAACATATAAGTATGTTTAATTTTTATTCGGTAATTATTGATGTATGTAGTCCCCATCTAATTTTTGTATACATCATTCAAAAAAAAATATTTTAAGGTATTTTGCAATTTTAATGTTAGTCCTAATTTCTAATATTAGTAATATAATTACAATACAAACTATCATTATGGAAGGGATTTTAATAAATATTATTTATAATACAAATCTCTTATTATTGAGTGGCTTTATAATTAAAAATAATCCTATTTGATATACTAGGTAGTTATTTCATCTAATCATGTGATGTATGTATAGTTTATTCCATATATACCAATAAACGAAACCAATAGAATTCATTTTTGAACATATTTATTACATATTTTAATAATATTTATTTATAATATTATTATAATAATATTAATTATATTATATGTTTCATATTTTGTGAACTGTGTAGATAGATTAGAATTTGATGTATTCTGTGAATTTTACCGTTTTTTTCTTATCTGGTTCTGACGTCCTGCAATTCCCTCTGCTAATATAAATACGTCAAACAAAAACGCCCTTGTATGTACTGTCACCAATAGAATCCTATTTCATTGCGTTTATAATTGTATATAATTATAAAAAAAAAATTGTCGAATTTGACAATCTTCTGTCTTTTGTTTATTTAAAACGCAAATAATTTAATTATAAAAAATATACATGTATGAATCAATAGTATGAAATTATGCTTATTATATAATTTTATTTGAGTTACAACAATCAAGCAAATAATGATTTTTTGAAAATGTATAAATTCAAAATATTATATACTATTAAATGTTTAATGTTAAATGTTTAATATGTAATGTTTAAAGATATTCATTTTTTTTTTTTTTTTGCAATAAGAAACTTGTGGAGCTCATATTAGTATTACGTCATGTATGTTCACAAATTTTACCGCCGTATTACAGTACTCGGAAATTGCATGCGCGGTGCTATAATATAACATATTCTTTTGTTAGAAACGTCTAGGTATAATTGAATACACAATATTTGATTTACTTACGATACATTTTTTTTTAAGTAATTTATTTTTATTTTTAATAAGAAATACTATTTTGGTACGGATGATATTAAAATAATAAAAAAAATGCACGTATTTGTTGAAAAGTTCAGATGTTATTTAATAATATTTTTTCATAAGTTTAAGAATTCTTCCGCTATTTTATCACACAATTTATATTATTTTGGTTATTAATTTTTTCTAAATATATATTTATCCCTGTTTTATTAGTGATTATAATGGAATTATACTTCATCAATACGTTTATTAAAACTTAATTAAAACTGTAATCATTAAATTTTATCGAAATATACTCGTATTTATTTTAATTTTTTCATATTGTTAAATTAATTCGTTCTACAATCAGTATCAATTTATGCAAGTATAAGCGGTTGAATAATTATCGAATCTAATTAAGCATCCCCTTGACGTGATGAGACACGTGCAATAGGGGTCTTAAAGTGAACTAAAAACTCGCCCACTTAGGGATCAACACTCGACGCGGATGTAGATTATGAATGATTTTAAAGAGTGCAAAGTAGGACTGACATTCGGGCCAAAAAATACGCCTCTGATAAACCAACCTCTGTTAATACATTTTTTTTATTTTCTTCCTACGCAATAGAACAACAGATAACTTGTCTCTTTTTCCGATGCATTAGGAAAACATGTGGGAAGTAATGTGGAACTTATTACATGTGTTGTTTCAAAGGGAGTTAAAAAACGTTCATGGGCACACGGAAATATTATTAACAAGACACAAATATATAAATGTATAAATAACTAATATATACCATGTTAACACGAAAGTAGCATTCAAAATAAAATATATGTCCCATTATACTAACTTAAATATTTTATATATAGGTTTTTTATTTCAATGTAAATTATAAGTATATTATTACATCTAATTCAATCAAAATTCAAACTAAAAGTTTAAATTCGATGGTTTTTAAATTTTTATTTTTGTTCTAATTAAATTATAATTATTCATTGTAGACAATGCAATTACATACAATAGTATTATATAATAAGGAATTGAAATTTAGCATATAGAAATTATTATATTACTTGTCATGCATTCGATACCTTGTATACATGTTCCATTATTGAATAAAACTATACTATTATGGTAAAAATTTAAAAACTCATACCCAGGGTGATGATATAGTTAATGATATGATATAGGTGAGTAAGACCATAAAGTAAGACATACAAATGTCATTTTTATAGATATCTAAGAATGCTATTAGTTTCTATAAAAATATAATACAATTAATATTTTACGGTTAATTATTATACTTTATCTTATTACATATATTTATCAGGAAAAACTTTTAAGGTATTAGTCATGTATGGACACGTCATATTGAAGATGACTGATGAGCGATGATATTAGATAAATTATATTTTTTTGGTACCCATTATTTAATTAAATTTATTATTTAGTTATATTTATTTAAATTAGAAGATTCTATATTTTGGGCCAGTATTTCTATAATTATTAAATATTTAAATCACTAAATATAATTGGACTCTAATATAAAGATATTTATTAAATTCATATTATGTTAATAAAATAATAAAAATTAAATTAAAATTAAAAATGATTAAATGGTTAATACTCGTAAATTAATATATAAACTATTTATTTATTTAAGTATTCTTATTATGTTACAATAATTCTAAGCAATATTTTGCGAAGCAGAATTATTCATCATTAAAATTACAACAAAAATTATCGTGTTTCATATTATTGATTTATATTTTTAGTATGTTGTATAAATGATGGTCATAAACACGTATTTAACATTTTATAAACCATTTATTATCCTTTTATTTGATGTATTGAATTACTTAAAATAAAATTAAAAAAGTAAAAATTTAATATACGATAGGTGTTTGGAACAGTGGTGCCCACAAGTTTACCATGAACCAGTGTAGTTATAATTATAGATACCCCAAATTTATTTTGTTCTACATCCATACGACCATATTCGTTTGATTAAAATAATTTTTTATTCCAAAAGCATTCTCAAATGCATATTTACTTTAAATAAATTAAAAAATATTGCAAATTACTGTTAAACATTATTTTAATAGGGGTTTGAATTTAAAATTTTACAAAAAAAAATCTTTAGAGGTTTGTATTGCTTAGGGTAGTTTTTCAAATACAATAACTTATTAATTATTAAAGATTTCAAAGATGATACTACAACATTCGTAATAATTTTGATCAGTGATTTAATTTAAGGCATTGAATATGTGTTGACTTGTCTTACAAAATATATCTATTACTTCATCACAATTTATTTTTATATAGTAGTTACATAACATACTAACATAGTAGCGTATAAATCTTGGGGTGGTTTTCTGAGCCCTGACAGTAACTACAAACACAATCAATATTATTATAGTTATCTATATTAATTATTTTATATTTATATTTGTTTGCACACTATCAATTCTTTACGTTTCATTAAACGATCTAAAGATCCAAATAAAAAGTTATGCATTTATAGTGTTTGCTCCAGAGATCAGTGTGAGGCCCTCAAATGTATGTAGGCCCCGGGACCCACGAGAACTCAATGCAGTTGTACCACTTGGTACCTTACATGGGCGCCAGTGGTTTGAGATAAAACAATTTCAAAACAAAATAAGTATATAGTATAATTCTTATATTATCGGTATAATTTCTATTTTTTTTTTATATACACAAATAATTACATAGAACATAGATGTGTAAAGAATTTAATATGGTATTAACAATGAACTATGTCTACAGTTAATCCTTTGGGATGAAATAATAATTTCCTAAGAAATAAATTCAAAATAAAGTAGAATCCGCTTATAACGATATTCAAGAGACCTAGAAAATCGGATCGTTATATCCGCATAATAAAAAAAATTAAAAAAATTTGATTTTTTTTAAAAATTGATTTATTAAAAATTGATTTATTAAAAATAAAGTATGTATTATGTATATGTACGTACAATTTTTTTGGGAAAAAGTCAGTTATAGTACTTTGTATATAACTGAAACAATAAGATTTTTTAACATAGTTATCAATATTTTTCAATGCCCTAGATACTTTAAAATATAATCGACAATTTCTGCTTGGTTTTGGTTCTTCTTTGTTTCATAAAGCAGCGTCAACCTCGATGAAATTTTGTAAGTCTTCTTCAGAAAATCATTCTATTTTATCACACATCGTTTCTTATTCAGTTTCATTATATACTGCGGCCCGGAGCACAGCATGGTAAAAACAGTTCTTTATTGTAGTAGTATAAACGTCATTCCATACATTAGAGAGCATTAAAATTGAAAACTATAATGACATTTTTGATTATTTTTCATGTTATTCTCAATTTTTAATTTTGAATATCAACTTTTTCGAAATT